GGCTCCTCGGCTGCATCGCTGTCGCTGCTCAGCTCACTGGCCGTCGTTGTGGGCAGCGAAAGATTCAGCAAACGTTGCAGCTGCTTCGCCCGCGGCATCAAATCCACGCGCAGCAGTCCAAAGAGTCGCTCGATTTGTGACTCACGCGCCGGGCAGTGATACTCGAGCACCTGTTCGACCATAAACAGGGTCGAACTGTGACTGGAGCTGTGACTAGAGCTGCGCTGCAGCTGCACCTTGATGGCGCATTTGTTGCTACCATCGTTGAGCTCCGAGCTGCCGGAGCTCGTCTCGATCTGCAGCAACTGACGCGCCAAATAGACCTCGAAGAAGATCTCATATTGTCGTATGCACTTTTCCAGTATGGAAAAGCCGCGCTGTTGCGTAGCCTTCGACTGTTCATCGTCCAGCTGAAACTCCGGACAATTCTGGGGTGGCGCACTCTTGGGTGGCTCCACGCCAGCCTCGTCTGTGGCATCAGCTGGCGCCGCAGTGCTGGGCGCAATGACAATGTTGCTGGGTCGCGTTTTCTTCGGGCTGCTGCGTATGAAGGGCACCTTGGCCTTGGCCTTGACCTTGATCTTCTTAATGCTGCGCGGTGTATCCAGATCCGAGGAGGACTGCTGTCCCGTGTCCGAGTTGCTGATCTGCAATTGGGAATCGAATATTAAATTGCTGCAGTTTATATGTAGGAAGCCCCTGGGCAGACTTACATCCTTATCTAGTTCGGAGAGTCGTGAGAAGGATTTCGCTTTCTTTTTGGGACTGTGTCGCACGACGCTCTGATTGGATGCTGAGCGCCTGATGAGCTCCTCGTCGTTGGGCTCAGCGTTTTGTGAATGCTCGCCAAATTGATTTAAACGTGAATCGGATTTACTCTTCTCCAATGCATTCGCTTGCATTGTAGATTCCAGAGCATTGTTGCTGCTGCTATTCGCATTCACAATCTTCTCCTCCGACTCTGAGTTGCTGTTCTGCTCCATAAGCTTGTTCAGCTTTATGGGGCTACTGCAAGAGCAAGGGCAAGGGCAAGGATAATTAGATATATATTGATGCAGAGAGTGTCCTCAGTTACTCACGTTATCATTGGCTGCACACGTGAGACAATCTTCATGCATAGCTTCAGTGAGGCGGTGACCTCGTCACTGCTCAGGCGATCCATGTGCAGGGAGAGCAGCTGGATGATCGATAGAAATACTTTGGGCAGATAGACGCGTGTGGTTTCCGTATACATCTCCAGTGAGATGGTCTCCAGCAGGAATTCAGTTAATGTACATGTTTCGAGCACACACGGATCGCCGGAGCCAACGATGCTGGCGAATTTGCCATCGCTGTTGGACTGGGCAGAGCTGGGCGCCTGTTGGCAGGCGCGCTCAAACATGTTGGTCATATAGCTCCATATATAGGCCGGATCGAATGTAGCAAAGAGCAGATTGGCCGACTTGAGCGCGTCCACATTGCTGCTAGAAATGTACATCGCTCGTATTATATCGTGCAGCACAAAGTCCAGCACGGCGCTGCCGATCTCCGCCTTGTCCAACAGCGAGAGCATAATGCGATACGGCTTCAGATCCATCGGCTGGCACTCCAGGCTCAGCCGCAGCGTATTCACCAACGCACTAATGAGTATATGCCGTGAGTGTGTAATAAAATATGGTTCCTCCTTCTGGCCATCGGCCGGCGCCGCCGAGTCCAGCGACAGTGTATCATATGTGGGTGAGTTTTTGGTTATCTCGCTGGCCAGCAGCCATGAGAAGAGACGCCTGTTTAGTGACATATCACGCCGTAGTATTGTATTCAAGCCATTTGTGACCAGCAGCACCAACTGTTCCTCATCCAGCAGCTTGGTGTGCATCGGGAAGCCCAGCAGCAGGAACTCGAGCGTATTACGCTGCACCAATATCAGCGAATCATTGAGGCAGGCGCACAGCGCCGACATCATAATCTCTCGATTGTGACCCATTATATACGTCTGCTTCTCCATATCTAGCCGCTTGTTAAAGTGCTCCAGTAGAAACGTAATGGCTGGCAATCGAATTGACGCATTATTGGCCACCGACTCCCACAGCACAGTATAAAAATGCATTGGATTGACGGCAATGCAGACATTTTTGAGCAGCGCACTAATGCGCTCAAAGTGATCCAAGCCACAGTCGTAGCCGGGCAGCACGCCACTCAGAAATCCACTCAACGCCGGACGCAACTTATCGCCCAGCGGCACAAAATATGTCTCGTAGATGGTCAGCAGAGCCGGCCGCACATTCATGGCCGCATAGCCCAGCAGTGGAAAGAGTCCAGCACTGTGGAAGGGTCGAAGATAACAGATGTGAGCACAAAGAGAAGTTATTTGAGTGAGACCCAACTTACCCATATATAAACTCTGTGGCCAGACGTTCGGGTCCCGTCTTGCTGAAGATCACGGAGTATGTTTCCAGGGCCTTCAAGTGCACCCCGGAGGGCAGAGCGGGATGCATGCATTGTGCCAGTCGCTTGGCTATCTTCAAGCGTCGCGGTATGATCTGGTACTGCGCATTACTTGATATGGCCTATCGTCGGGTAACGAAAAACAAGTTTCAAAATAATTATAATAAATACATTGAATGTAATTAAATAAATTGCATTAATATGCGAGTATATCAGGCGAAATGCAGTTCATTCAGGTTGGGGTTAATATATATCTAAAGAATAAAATAATTTTCGAATTTGTAAACTATATAAAATATGTAGGTGCAGAACTTTTTCAATGTATATTTAAATTTATAATATAATGTTCAGATATATAAATAATGTTTAGCTAATAGTTTTGCAATTATTATATTATACAAATATGTATATATATATTTGATTCTCTAACTAAAGCAAGCATTTTCCATTTCTAGTTTCATTGATTCTATTGATTCTTGATTTAAAAGAAATCTAAATAAATAATAAACATTTTTTCCGAGGAAATGAAGGTTTTAATAATTGAACAAAACTATAGTTTTAATTATCATTAAAAAGTTTGCTCAATAAAATAAAAGATATTCCTTGAACTACATGAAATACTCTTTTGCTGAAGTATGAAAAAGCCCTGAATTATAATGGCATGAGAAACACAACTGCGATAAGAGCGGCGAGTGGCTCGAGCAGTCGACGACGATGATTTCAAGCAAAAAATAAACGCATGAATCAGAGTTATGAACAAAAAGGTTGTTCTACAAATATATACATATGTAAATAATGGTATATATAGATATTCTTTTATAACAATGACAGCTATGAACAAATAGTAACGAGGCGCGTGGCTCGAGTAGTGAATCTACAATTTAATAATAATATGGGTCAGCGTACCTTGCTTAGTTTGCCCAGTGCCGCAATTAGATCCGCCCACTCACTGGAATATTCAAAATTGCGCAGCGCTTTATCAATGTTGCTCATATATTGGCGATATTTCGCCTCGGCCATGAGCTTCTGCTCCTCCAAGAGCGTGTCCGCCGACTCCATGGCGATGTTTTCAACTGAATCGATAGCTTCACCAAGCAAAAGCCAGACAAGAAAGAAAAAGTGAAAGAGAGAGAGAGGGAGAGAGAGTGCGAGAAACACTCCAATTGAAAACAACAATAAGAAAACCAACAAAAATCAATAACAATTAACAAACACTTGTTGCCGCTACGTCCTTGAGTCTTTTTGGTAGACGCTGGCCGTTTGTTTAAACGGTAAATGCATATACACACACACGCACCCAACACACACACACATATATATTTAATGAGTGTGGCATCCAGCGCACTCGCGTCTACAAAAATCTGCGTCAGCTGCAGCTGCTGCCAACACAATGGACAAAAATGTTGAAATCACTAGCGAAAAAATTACGTTTGTATTCGTGCATGTGTGTGTATATGGATTCTTTGTTCGCACATCTGTATTTGGCAGCAAATTGAATTTGTTATTGCTCTACGCTTTGTATACATAAATTAGCACAAATGTATTTGTTTCACATTTCACCTTATTAACCCCCCTTCTGCTGCTGGTGGGGCAGAGCACAGTTTATTATTTTTTTTTCGTTTTGCCTTATTTCTTTTGCTGCTGCTGCTTCTGCCGCGGTCGTTGTTGTGCGCTCTCGCGCACGTCAAACAATTAACTACGAATGCAATTACTGTGACGACGACTCGAGACTTGCGACCAGCTGATGACGAATTTTTTTGCTGACAGACAACGACGACGGCGACGGCGACGCACGTTTGTAACTTTTGTTTATATCCTATTAGTTAAGTTGTATAATGCTCGCACAGCGACATTTTGCGTCGCTCTTTGTTATTTGCATATATTCATTTGAGTTATTTATTGATTTACATTGCAAAAAAGTTCATCTCAAAATCACAATAACTAGCTGACTGCGCTGGTCGTGGTCTTACATTTTCTAATACATTGTTGCAAATATCGATGTATCGATATTTGTATCAAAAATGCTATATTGTGCTGGCATGACACTTACGAATTTCTCTCTTCCGATATTTGATTGTTGCGAATATATGCCAGAAAAAGGATTTGGTTGCTTTCATCATAATTTTTCCTTTTTGTTGGTTGAGCCAATTTTTCAAACTGAAAATGCCTTTTGAAATATAACTTGTTTTTTTTTTGTGACTAACTGTGCTTGGTATGACCTCCAAGCTAATTTGTTTTCAAAGTCTGTTTTTGACTAATTTTGTTTTAATTAAATTTTGTTTAATTCTAAACATCTGTGTGTGGTTTAACTACATATGCTATTAAATGGAAGCACAAATGAATTTAAGGCCAATCATATACATTTTGATGACTGTTATAAATTGATTTGTTTCGATTAATCCAAAAATTGTTAATATTTTCAAATTTCAAGACTTTTTTGATCGTTCCAAAGTCATTATATATTTTTAGTTTCACAAACTGAATAAATTACTATAAGAAACATTTTTGGAAATACTTTCAAAAAATAATAATTTGGTTTTGAAATGCAAGTATTAACTCGAAATAATTTTTTATGATTAGATTAATCCATGAGTTGTTTACATTTGTAGCAGTTTTACTTCTTCTTCTTGTTCTTAGTTTGAGGCGCAGCTGCAGCTGAACCATCAAGCGCCGCCAGTTCCTTCTTCAGATTTAACAGTATTTCCACTTCGGGTTTCCAAACGGAGGCATCTCCAGTGGCCTTCAGATTGCGCACCTTTTCGCCCTGTTGCGCGATTTTCTCTTGCAACGCTTTAACTGCGGCTGCATCGATGCCTTTTGGTGCCGGTGAGACAGATGCTGATGTTGCTCCTGAAGCTGCTTTGGCTTCCTCAAGTTGTTTCTTAAGGTCTAGCAGCTTGTTGACTTCGGGCTGCCAAACGGCCTTGTCCTTGGTTGTTGACTTGAGCTGGCGCACCTTGTCGCCCTGGGCCTGCACGGCCTGCTCCAGGGATTGTACAGATTGAGCAGATGGAGATGCAGACGGGACTGGAGCTGCTGCTGCTGCTGCTGCTGCTGCTGCTACTGCTCCTGTTGATACTGGAGCTGCCTTCTGTGCCGCCTCCAATTGTTTCTTTAGCTCCAGCAACTTGTTCACCTCCGGCTGCCACACAGCTTTGTCTTTTGTGCTCGCCTTCAGCTGGCGCACCTTATCGCCCTGAGCCTGCACTGCTTGCTCCAGTGCTTGTACAGATTGCCCACCTGGAGCTGGCGATTCTCCTGCAGCTGCTGTTAATCCTGCTCCCGCCTTCTGTGCCGCCTCCAATTGCTTCTTTAGCTCCAGCAACTTATTGACCTCCGGCTGCCACACAGCTTTGTCTTTTGTGCTCGCCTTCAGCTGGCGCACCTTTTCGCCCTGCGCCTTAACAGCTGCCTCCAGCTCCACTGTGCTTGACTGTGGCTGAGCTGCTGCTGCTCCTGCTGCGGCTACTGCCTCCTTGTCGGCCTGCGAGCCTCCAAATTTCGCCTTGAGACTCTCGATGAAGGCGTGGTCCAATTTGTCAAAGAGCGGCGAAGGCGTGCCTATCTTATGGCCAGGTCGCAAGAGCTGCGTAGCGAAAGGTTTGCTGAAAATCGGAATTACAATGTTAGTCTATATCAGCATTTAGTAACTGCTACTTACTTAGCATCTAGTGGCGTTTGCTTGGTGTTCAGCTGGGCGAACATGGCGCGCGCTGTCGTTGGCATAAAGGGGAACAGCAAGTTGGCCAGCAGACAGACTATATTTATGCTCAACCCAATGATAGTTCCGGCACGCGACTTCTGATCATCGCTGCCCTTGAGCAACGCCCACGGCTGCTGGTACTGTATGTAGCCGTTGCCATGACGGGAAATGGACAGCAGATGGCGAATGCCATCGCGCATCTTGGCCTTCTCCAGCGAGTTGATGTAGCCGCGCAGCTCCCGATTGATCAGAGCCAACAACAAGAAATCATTGTGATTCAGATCCATCTGTGGCAATTTGCTGTCGAAGTTGCGTTCGCAGAAGGACAAAGCGCGATTCACAAAGTTGCCCAAGTTGTTGAGCAGCTCGGAATTGTTGCGTGCGGCCAAATCAGTCCAGCTGAAGCTAGAGTCCTGGCCCTCAGGACGGGCGGAGGCCAGATAGAAACGCCAGACGTCGGCGGGTATGCCCGTCTCCTGGGCATCATTGCCAAAGACGCCAATGCCGCGACTCTTGCTGAATTTGCCATCCTCGTAGTTCAAATATTCCGTGGCCATGATGTGGCTAACCAAGGTGTTGCCCTTGTTGATGGCCAGCAGCACAGAGGGCCACACCACCGAATGGAACGGAACATTATCCTTGGCCATGAACTGGAAGAGCTCGACATCGGTGCCCGGTGCCGGTTGCCACCATTGCAGATAGTCCTTGGTGTAGCGCTTGGTGATCGAAACATAACCAAATGGCGCATCGAACCACACATAGAAGACCTTCTGCTCGAAGTTCTTGTGCGGCACGGGTATGCCCCATTTGAGATCGCGCGTGATGCAGCGCGGCTTCAGACCCTCGCGCAGCCAGGCGCGCGTGATGACGCGTGCATTGTGTGTCCAGCCCTGTTCAGCACGATCCACCCATTCACGTAGCTTTGGCTCGGCTTTCGGCAAATCCAGGAACAGCTGATCGGAGGAACGCAGCACGGGCGCAGTGTTGCACACCTTGCAACGTGGACGCACCAGCTCGGTGGCATTGACTAGCTTGCCGCACTTGTCGCACTGATCGCCGCGTGCGTCCTCATAGCCGCAGCCCGGATGTGGACAGGTACCTTCCACGAAACTAAAAGAAGATTAGAGTAGATTATGTAAGAGATTTTAAATATCTATATATATGGGTGCTATCTACCGATCCGCTAGAAAACGATCGCATTTCTGGCACAGCAGCTGCTCCACGCTCTCTGTGAGTATGTAGCCCGCTTCGTAGACATCCTTGAAAGCCTCTTGGACAATTCTGAAAGCAAATGTGGGAAGCATGAATACAGGATTCTTAAGTTGATTAAATAAATTGCAGCTAACTCAGTTTGCTCCGGTGTCGTGGTGCGTCCAAAGTAATCGAAGCCAATGCCGAACCAGCGGTATATGGAGTTGTGCAGCTCGAAGTACTTGTCGCATATCTCGCGCGGAGTCATATTCTCGGCCAGCGCCTTGTTCTCCGTTGCCGTGCCATACTCATCCGTGCCGCAGATGAGCAGCGTATTGTAGCCAGCGGCACGCGAGTAACGGGCAAATATATCAGCCGAGAGCACACAGCCAATTATGTTGCCCAGATGGGGCACATTGTTGACATAGGGCAGAGCTGAGGTGATGAGCACATTGCGTTCGCCTGGCTTGGGCAGCACAGTGCGTGGCTCAGTTAGTTCCTTGGGTTCGGTGTATATGAAGGCTTCGCGTGCTGTATTGATTTCCTCCTCGGAAACGGTGTCGGCCACAGTGGGTCCAGAATCAGCCAGAACTTTGTCAGCATCCTGAGAGATGCCACGCCGCAGCTGGACATGCGCAAGGCCACCATAACGATTCCCCTGCTGCAGCGCATTGAAGCTTAGGGTGTTGATGGGCAGCTCCTTTAACGCCTCCTGCACCTCGGGCAGAGCTTTGATTTTGTTATACCAGCTGTGCAAATGCTCTACATTCTGGGCACCTTTCAGTGTGCCGTCCGGGGCAAGCAGAGACCAAATGAATAGATCCGCAGAGGTTAGCTTGTCTCCGGCAATAAACGGAGAAACACTGAGGGTATCGTCCAGCTTCTTCACTAAAGCATTGAGCACGGGCCCAGCTCTCGAATCGGCGCGATGGCCCGTAGCCATGTAGTGCTCCAGAGCTGGCGTCAGCAGCGTTGCGCCCCACTCCAGCCACTAAATAAATATACATATATAACTCAATTAAATCTTCAATCCAATTAACCTTGTAGCCTCACCTCGTTCCTTGGATAACCCTCATGCATAAGCAAATATTTATATATGGCTGCGGTGGAGAATAAACGCAACCCGTTGTCCAGCTCCACCGTGGGCAGTAGTATCAAATCCTTGTATTTAGCATCTGTAAGTAGCAGACAGCATTGCATCAGTTAAGCGTCATTCGAACGTTGCACGTTGCCGGCAAGCAGATTTTTTTTATTTTTTTTTCTCACCAGTTATGGTAATCTGCTGCAGAAACATCGGCCTCTTGAGATATTTGGCGAGTACCAACAGCTGCAGGCCAATCGGATTGCCTTCGTTTGTGAAGAGTATCATTTTGCAGCGTTCGACAGTTATTTTCAATAAATTCACGTGGCAAAAACGGGTTAAAAAGCCTCAAGAGCACCACGCGTATTGCTAATTCTATATAAATAYATAAATATATATGTATGTGTATTAGGTATGAGTAGCGAGCGATAACTATCGTTTGTCGACATAAACTGAAATAAAGTTATCCCAGATCAGCTGGGCTCGACAGGTGGCGCTAGTGTGCTGAGACGCATGTAAACAATTTGTGTTTTGCTTCTCTAGAGTTTTTTAGTTTCAAGTCAAAATGGGTGAACGCAAAGGACAAAATAAATATTATCCGCCTGACTATGATCCAAAAAAGGGCGGACTCAATAAATTTCGCGGCACACATGCGCTGCGGGAGCGTGCACGCAAAATCCACCTGGGCATCATCATCATCCGCTTTGAGATGCCCTACAATATCTGGTGCGATGGCTGTAAGAATCACATTGGCATGGGCGTGCGCTACAATGCAGAGAAGACGAAGGTGGGCATGTACTACACAACGCCCATCTACAAATTTCGCATGAAATGCCATTTGTGCGACAATCACTTCGAGATCCAAACGGATCCTGGAAATCTGGATTATGTGATACTATCGGGCGCACGACGGCAAGAAAATCGCTGGGATCCGTTGCAGAACGAACAGGTGGTGCCCGAAACCAAAGAGGTGCAGAAGCGGCTCTTCGATGATGCCATGTACAAGCTGGAGCATCAGGCCAAGGATGTCCAGGCGGCTGTGAATGCAAAGCCAATGCTCCAGAAGATCGTTGAACGCAACCAAAGCGTCTGGGATGACAACTATGTGGCCAACTACAAGTTGCGTGCCACATTTCGGGAGCAAAAGAAGGAGCTGAAAGGACAGCAGGAAATCGATCGACAGCTTCTGGCGAAGAGCAGCCTGGACATAGCTTTGCTGCCAGAGACCCAACAAGATCGTGATATGGCCGCTCTGATGAAGTTGCAGACGCGCAGCGCTTTAGAGCGTGAGTCGGAGCAGCGTCTGGATTTGCTGATGAGACCAGCGTTGCCAGGTGCGACGAGCACAACCTTTGGTGGCTTGAAGCGGCAAAAAGCGCTGAGCACACAACTGCAACTACAGGATTTGGGCATCAAGCGGAAGGAAAAGTCGAAGTTGACGGGGACAACAGGTGGAGAAGTAGAATCAAATAGAAAAGCAGGATTTAAAGAAGCAACTGATGCAAAGGCAGCAAGAGAGCCAACGACTGCAACAATGGAAACGAAAGAGGCGACAGAAGCAGAAACTGGAACGAATGAAACGATTGGAATGCGGACTACTTCAGCAAATGGGAGAGCCAGCTCAGAAGCAGGTACAGCCAGTTTACCAACTGGAGCAGGCGACAAAGGAGAAACGGCAGCAATTGCAAATGAATGTGGCACATCCACTCAACCCCTAGAAGTAGCACCTAGCGCACTCAGCCTGGTCTGCGGTTATGCCAGTTCCAATGGCAACAGTTCAGTTCAACAGATTCAAATGATTAACAAAAAGCTGCATTAAGCCGCACACAAGAAATTGAATTGTTTTAATCCGAAAAATTATATAACATTTGATTGCCTAAATAATAGTTGTTTAATACATTCCCTCGTTCAGATCATCAATGGCACTGTCCATGCTCTCCTCGCCAGCGGGAGTGCCCACATTATCATTCTGATCGGTCTTGTAGAGCACCTCGCAAACCCGATTGCAAAATTCTACATGCTCGTTCTTATTGATCATGTCGGTTAGTAGAATCTCCACCTTGTGAAGCTTCTCGTATACCTCATCACGTGCCTTCATTGTGGTGGCAATCTTCGAATTCAACTCTGAGATGGTGGCAAGGAAATCCTCCGATGCCTGCTGCTGTTGTTCTTGTTGCTGCTGCTGCTCCTGCTGCTGCTGCTGCTGTTGTTGCTCCTGGTTTTCTTTGATGAAGCCGCGTGGTTTGATGGGCTTTGGCTGGACAGCATTGGCTGCCGATTTAATATTCTCTAGGCCAGGAGCTTGGGAGTCGAAGAACTTCTTGAACCATTGCAAGAATTCGAAATTGTCTTGGAAACGTCCCTTGATCAAGCGATCCAACGGCACGGTCTTGTCAAGCTTGAGGCGTGTAAGGGCGCCCTGGAATAGCTTCATATTGTGAAAGAACTCGTGCTCCAGCTTTGCGGACATTTTGACGCGCTTCAAGTTGATGCAATTGGGAAAGATCATGTCCATCATTTGACAATAAGCGACACCTGTAATGAAATTTGAAATTAGCTGTTATATATCTCAGACTCTAATTCCTTACCTGATGCCATCTCTTCGATCTTCTTAAAGTGTCCATTCACCATGGTGTTCACCCAGTCGAGCATCTGGTGGCGCGACATATTTTCAGCGTTTGAACTGGTTAGGCATACGGTTTGCTTTAAATCGCTCATCCTTCGATCTGATGTAATTTTATATTTATCTTTATATATAATCAATGTGTATGTGGGTCTGGTTTTCTGTGTGGTTAAACTATATAAGCTGTAATACTCCTGCAGCTGTGATTTCTTATGTGACTTTCTGGAATTAATAATTAAATGTGCGTGCGTCTCTCTCCTAGGAAGAACTTCGTATAAAAATATTTATGCCTATGATTATTTATGTATTTTTGTGTTTTAACTGTGCCTACTGTGAGATTATCGCCTACCTATTCAATTCTGATTTTAAAAAAATATATAAATATCTAGTTTGTAATGTTAAAAAATGTATCACAATGAATTCTTCTATGCTTGCTTTGTTACTGCTCCCTCCTTTTCGTTTTGATTTAAGCTTTGAACGGAGTGGCAACGCTGGCTTAAGCGGCAGGATTAAATATCAGTTGGTCAGGCTAAGATATCGATTAAGCGTATCGCTTAGCATCGATATATTATTTAATTGGCGAATTGGTGTAATTTAAATTTACGTGATCAAGGTTAATTACGTTTATTTATCACTATATCTGGTTCTATATTTCTTAAAATTGTAAGAAATAAATGTTTAAAGCATTACTTGAACCAGCAGCCACGATATAGGATAGAGTTTGTGAGGTATTTTTCTATTCAAACTTTATTAATAACTTACAATGACTTTATTTTAAATTTGCTTTCAACTTTCTTAACAAAGTCAATGAAATCCTTGTAGAGCACTTTGGGCAGCTCCAGTGCCGCAAAGTGTCCGCCTCGCCTATAGTACGTGCTGTGTATTAAATTCTTATACTTGTCCTTCAATTGCAGATCCAGGAATTGCATTATATCACCCTTGAAACGCGCACATCCCGTGGGCACAAGCGTTGGCACGCGGTCCAGCTTCAGCGCTTGCTGCTCCTTAGTGTACGCCTCTGCATAGAGACGCTGTGACGTCGTAATGGAATTGGTCAGATAGTAGATCATCACATTATCGAACAGGGCGTCCAGTGTGTAGCGCTTCGTAAGACCGCCGTCGGGCAGGGAGCGATAGCTGGCGTTTGTCCAGGTGGAGAACTTTTCGAGAATGTAGGCAGCCAGGCCAACGGGATTGTCCGTCAGCGCAGCACCCACCGTATCCGGCTTTGTGGCCTGCAAATGGAAATAGCCGCTTTCCTCTAATAAATAACCGAATTCCTTGGACTTGGGAAAGAAGAAATCCGTAAAGGCGCTCGGCACAAACAAGCTCGGCCAGATGCTGGCCAGCAGACCCTTCACTTGCGATCTGGGCGACAGATTGTTGCACATATTCGAATGATAGCCCAGCACATTTTGTGGATAGAGCGTGGCTATGTGAGAGCCCAAAACGGAGCCCCAATCGCCGCCTTGTATAAAGAATTTGTCGTAGCCCAAGCGCAACATTAAATTGCGCAGCATCACAGCCATCTGGGCGGGACCCAAGCCTGGACGTGAGGTGCCCTGAATAGTGGAATATAGATAGGTGAGAATCCAAGAGCAAAGCCTGTAGCCATATAGCCTTACCTGGGACCAAGCGTAGCCCGGCAAACTGGGCACAATTACATTGAATATATATTTGTTATTCGGATCCAAATGGGTCTGATGGAGCATGTGTATCAGGTCATAGAACTCGCGCACCGATCCCGGCCARCCGTGCAGCAGCAGCACCGGATAATGATGTTTGCCCACCTTGTTCTCGTCGTAGACCATCAGGTGGAGAAAATGCATGCGTAGACTAAACGAGGCGCTTATCAATGGACAGACACTGGCTGATAAGCGCGTTATCATACAAACCCTTGGATTTCGGTGGTGAAGTGATTGAATTGCCACAGGAAGACTTCACGCGCGCGCCAACGCGGCAAATAATCGTCACGCCAATAGGCGATCAATTCCTTCAAATAGTCGCTATTGAAGCCATACTCAAAGGCCACGCCCTCGAGCGGAGGCGTGAGACGTAGCGTGCGATTCAATTGCTTAATCAAATCTTGAATAGTCTACAGGAGAGAGAGAGAGAGACAGAGAGAGAGAGAGCGCAACATATTGCTTAGCCACTCTATATATGTATGTATGTAATGTATTTGCCCTCACTGATTCTGGATACACTAGACGATTGCCTATCACTTCGGATGAGTTGGTCAAATAGGCTGCGTAATCTTTCGGCTGCTCCTCATCGCCCCACCATTGCTCTGGGTCGAGCGTGGGCGGTGGCAAATCGCCCCACAATTGATTCAAACGCTTGTAGAGCATGCCGCCGCCAATGGCCAACAGAAGCACCAATAAACGTGTTATGGGCGACATATTTACTGTCCAGTTCTACCTCTCGTCTCGAAGGTTTCCGTCACACTAATCTAATAGAACTTTAGTTGAGATTGCACTTCTACGTGTGTGTTTCTTTTATTTTCATTTCTCATTTTCGTTTTTGTTGTGATCGTTTTACTTCGCGCACACACACGATGACAAGCCAAATCGTTTGCTTACGTTACGCTACCTTCGGCAGATCGTATGAGTTTTCTGTGAGCTTTTGATGAGCCAGCGCCGGAGAGTAGCGTCTCCGCTGTGTCGCATAGGCCGCTCGCATCTAGCCGGTTTGGGAGCTGTTTGACGAAGCATGCTTTGCATGTTAGATAATCTGTTATTTAGTGTGGGTTATTGGCAACACAGCTGTGCGCTGGTCAAGGCGTAAAGGGCATTTAAAATTGGTTGAAACAGGTGCTTAAACTAATGATTTAGTATAACTCAAAGGGGGGTGAAAAGAAATGCATAATTATTAAATGAGAACAGCTTCAATTAAATTAATTGGCACTAATGTCTATAATTATAAGGTTAATGTATATGTTAATGCTAAAGTTATAAATTATAAAGAAATCCTATATATTTAAATAAAATTTAAATAAACGTAAACTTAACCATTTTAGTTAAACTTTGTTCACAAATTTCGAAATTTCCCTTTTATGCCAATTTTTAAATCGATATCGCCCTTATGAATTACATAACTGTGAGCTTTCTGCCTGCCTGCCCTCAATCCGGTATACGTATAAGTGTATAAGAATACGTAACTTACACACTATAATAGTATAAGCTGCGTGCTAAAAATAACTGCTCAAACTCAACTGATATGCATATGCACATGTGTATGTATGTCTTTGCCCTTCTTCAGTCCTTTATAGCTATGAGCTTTGCCCTTGTGTCACATAGCTATGAGCTTTTTGTCTGACCATAACCATATATAAGAGTACTTATACTGTATGCAAAAAAACCTCTTTTACTCCAGCTCTTCATCCATATATAAACAATATTATTACAGCGCATACATATGTCGCATATGCCCGGCCTTTATGTCATACGAAACTGTGTTTAAGTATTGGAAACAAATATATGTGTTTGCTTACATGTATGTGTGTGCGTGTGAGCTTATTGAGAACTTATTGTTATGCTGTAGACAATTGTGTGTATTTATATGGTTTTCAACTATCCCATTTGAGACCTCTTTAGCATTGATAAATAAATAATCCATAGTCTTTTTTATACAAAATATAAACAACAAATAGTTTTATTCATTCCCTGTGCCGCATTTTAAAAGTACAACATTAATCAATATAATCAATTAGATTTCAGAGCTTTTTGAACAAAGGACACAAAGTCTGCGTAGAGTTGCTCGGGCACCTGGAATGCCGGGAAGTGTCCACCGTCCGGATAATGGGTGCTCTGTATCAGATTCGGGAACTTATTGGCCAGCACCGAGTCGGGCACATGGAAGATTTCATGAGCAAATCGTGCACAGGCAACGGGCGCCTTGACGGGCACACTTTCCACATTCAGGTCTTGTTGGGCCTTGCCCATCGACTCGGAATACAAACGCACGGATGTGGTTATCGAGTTGGTCACATAGTAGATCATTATATTATCCAGCAGCTGATCGTACGTGAAGTGCTTGGTTAGACCGCCGTCCTTCAAGTTCTTATACGCCGGATTGGTCCACGTGGAGAATTTCTCCAGGATATAGGCAGCCAGGCCAACGGGATTATGCGTCAATGCGGCGCCAATGGTATCCGGCTTGGTGGCCTGTATATGCGCATAGCCAAATTCCTCCAAAAGCGTTATGAAGATCTTGCCAATGCCCCCATAGTATTGCGCATATTGGCTGTCAATGTAAAACGATGGTATGATGGAGGAAAGCAGCATACGTAGATGGCCCATGGGACTATTGTTGTTGCACATATTGGAGTGGAAGCCGAGCGTGTTCTCTGGGAATAGGGTAGCCAGATTGCTACCAATTGTGCTGCCCCAGTCGCCGCCCTGAATGAGGAACTTATCAAAACCCAGACGCAGCATCAGATTACGCATGATCACGGCCACCTGGGCGACGCCCATGCCAGGTCGAGAAGCTCCCTGCAATTATAGATAAAAGCGAGCTCAGCTAAGCTTAAATTTAAGATAGTATTTATCCTGCTGTTTACCTGCGACCAGCCATAGCCCGGCAAACTGGGCGCTATCACCTCGAACACGTATTCACTCTTATCGCTACCCTTGGTCAGCAATGGAATGAAATCATAGAATTCACGCACTGTTCCCGGCCAGCCGTGCATCAGGAGCAAGGGCACCACCTTTTTGGCCTTCGCATTAGTTGGTTTCGCATGTATAAAATGAATCTTTAAACTATAAATATACAAATTAACATAATCCAAAATGGCATACAAAATTATATATAAATATGTATGAATGCATACGTTTGTGTGTGTGTGTGTGTGTGTATGTGTTTGTGCATGTGTGTTTTCATGCAACTTACCCTTGAATTTCGGTCTGGAAATGCTGGAATTTCTTAAGGAACTCCTCACGTTTGTTCCAGTTGGGCAAATAGTCGTCACGCCAATATTTCACCACCTTTTTCAACTCATTGGAATTGAAACCGTATTCAAAGCCAATGCCTTCTAGCGGGTCATGAACTTTGAGCGGGCGTTCCAGCTGCGTCTTCAAATCGGCAATAAGCTGTAAAGATGCAGAAAAGAAGGAAAATTTGAATAAACGACGAATATTAGTGACAAGACAAATTAAGTATTATTATATAAGCATATAATTATGTATATAATATATATGTATGTATATATTAAATGTGACTTCTGACCCACCTCAGGGGCCACACTTATGTCGTACGGCTTAATGGCTTTATTCTCCTGATATGCGCCCTTGAGTTGGGGTCCCCAATACTCATTATTATCCAAATTGGGAAGCTTGCCGGGCGCACCTAAATCGCGGTAATTCTTGTAGCCTACAGCAACTAGAAGCGTTAGGCCACCGATCAGTATGCGCACTGTGGTCGACGCTGCAGATGGCATTTTAATTATTCTTTTTTCTAATACTGAGACTACCCGATCCCAATAGCTAAACACAACCGTCCGCTTTCGCTTCGCAAAAGAAACTGGCGAAGCGCTGAGAAACACACAAGCGGAGACCGGTCTGCTTGCAGCTGCAAAAAATGTGTAGTAGAGGAAACCACAAACAAATATCACGATTGAGAGACGAAAAAGAATGAGCAAAAATTTGCCATTTAATGGTTTTACAGCGCTGCACGATAATAAAGAACACCAAAGCTGTATGTGACTCAAAATATTGCAAGCAAGGTAAAATAATTTTTTTTAATAAGAAAACACAAAATATAAATATTTTTATAAATATTCAATCGTATATATCAATACGTATATTCAATTTAAATTTAGAAGCTTTCACATGGATTACTGCACTGAGCAATTATAAGTGTTCTATTGCTATTGCAAGCAACGTAGTTGCTCTCTTGATCGGCGTTTCTCTTTGTCACATACTTACACACACATGGTATACAAACACAAAGATCGGAAAGCAAATCCAGCTGGTGACAGTCGTGCTTATCGTGAACCGAAGCTGACACGAAAAACACATGTACATACGTGTATATTATGCATAATTAACTAAGACACAAATTTATACAGTTACGAGCTCCCTTAAAGTTTTGCTTTATTTTGTAACAGTCGATACTTTCTCCAGGGGAATCCCTTTTGATTTACATGCATTTTATTTTTCGATTAGCGTCTATATAAATTCATTCTCTCCTCCCTAGGGCGACAACAGTTATGCATTGCGAGCATGACAAAGTAGCCCGACAATTGGTAATCTTAAACTTGAGCAAAGAGAATAAGCAAAACAAAATAACGATAACGAGAGTTAAAAGTACAATATGCTATGAGTAAGTAGCTAGAGCAACAAAATCACATTGCAAAGAGCAGTATAAGTGTTGGAAAGTAGCAAATGATGAACTTGTACAAAACCCGCGCAATTTGAAAAGAAAAAGACGATCACTTATGATATTTATTAGAGCTAAATTTTGTTTTTATTGATTTTAAAAGTCAGCTGTAGTTTATAAATTTTTTGGCAATTTTAGTCGGTATGTAGTCCAATTTTTTTAACAAATTCATTAAAATCATTAAATAACATGGATGGCATTTCCATGGCCGCAAAATGACTGCCATGCTGGAAATACATGTTATGCTTTATGTTGGTGAACTTATCCTTCAGCTGCCACTCGGATGCAGAGGGCAAATCGAATCTGAAGCGACAACAACCCATGGGAACATCCGTTTGCACACGATCCAGCTGAAGATCGCGATACGTCTTCGATGTATTCTCTGCATAGAAACGTGCGGCAGTTGTGGCCGCATTATTCAGATAATAGATCATCAGATTATCGAGCACAGCCTCTAGGCCAAAGATCGTGACTATGGCACCAAAGTCCTGCTTTAAGCTCGGACTCGTGCAGGTCTGGAACTTTTCGAGTATGTAGGCGGCCAGTGCCACGGGACTGGAGTCGAGCGCCGCTCCAATTGTATCCGGTTTGGTGGCCTGTATATGGAAATATCCACTTTCAACCAACAGATCCTGATACTTCTCCCAAATGCCCACATGATGATCGTAGAACATGCGTGACCGAAGCACCTTCTCGGGATAGTAATGGGTGTAGATGCCCTTCAGAATGGATAGTGGAGTGTTCAACACACACATATTGGAATGATAGCCGAGCACATTTTCCGGATAGAGTGTGGCCAGATTGCTGCCGATAATGCTGCCCCAATCGCCGCCCTGAACAAAGAACTTCTTGTGACCTAATCTCAGCATCAGATTGCGCATCACTGTGGCCATTTCAGCGGCATTGAAGCCCACACGGGTGGCGGCCTAGATGGGATAAGAGATATATAGTAATGCATATGTATGTATATATTGAAAGTATACATTTCTCTTATACTTACATCCGACCAGCCGTAGCCAACAAGTGAAGGCGCTACCACATCAAAGGCATAATCACTTATATTTTGATCCTTGACCAGCATGGGTATAAAATCATAGAATTCCCGCACCGATCCCGGCCAGCCATGGAGCAACAGCAGCGGATAGACATGCTTCTTCTCAGCCACCTCCTCGGACACGCGTTCGTGAATGAAGTGAATATTTAAGCTGTGCAGATAAGAGAAAAGTATGAGTGAGTGTCACACACTTAATGAAGGGAAATTCTCTCTTTAATATATAAACAAACACATGTTACAAATACATCAATAGTCTAAGTTGAGCTTGACCATGCACACATGAATATAAATGCAGAGAGACACTCACAAAATTCCACCCCACTTCAAATTTGATTTCCTATTGCTCTCTCGTGTAGTCAACAGCTTTTAAAAGCCCGAAGAATTAATGCGATTGGGAAGGCCTCTCTTCCAATATAACACTCATTTGTTAACGCTCACAGCTCTCTTTCTCGAAGTGAATGCAATGTATTTGTACATAATTTTTTTATTTTCGTTGCTTTTTACATCCTTCTGAGAGCGAAGTACTGTAACCAACTTTAATGTTTGCTACGCTTACATATATAAAAATCATATTTTGAGCTTGAGTGTTTTATGGAGAGAGTAATTTATGGTTGCGGAAAGAAAATAAATGTAGATTTCTATGAACGCACACACATTTACTCTTAAGATCGTATAATATACATGTATTGGAGCAACTTTTTCCGCTTTCTTTAAGTTGTGTTGATTTATTTGCTCTACATATGCGATGTTGTTATAAATTACATATATATTATTATATAGATGTATGTATATATACATATATTGATTATCACTTTCTAAATTAGAGCTACATGCTTACCCCTGTATCTCAGTTTTGTACTGCTTCAGTGAGTTGAGATAGTCTTGTCTCTGATTCCATTTGGTTAGATATTTGTCTCGCCAATATTCGACAAACTGAGCCAAAGCATTTGTATTAAATCCATACTCAAATGCAATGCCTTCGAGTGGTTCGGCTAGTCTCAAGGTGCGATTAAGTTGCTGTCTCAAATCCTGAATTTCCGCTTTCGGCACATCCACAACAAAGTCATAGATCTTCGTATCCGGCTTATAGTTCTTGCCATCTCCAGGTCCCCAATACGTGTCGTCTTTAAACGCTGGCCGGGGTAGTGGACGTGTCAGGTCTGTGAATACTAGATAACCATAGCCCGCAATGCTAGCAAAAATGGCCACAATCAGTCCAAATATAACTAAGCACTTCATAATTTTCAATATTCTTTTTTATTTTTTATCTGCTAATGACGAAAATCTTAATGAGATAGGCGTCGGTCTCATCGAGTATGCACGACTGCTCTCACGGCCCGACGTAAACCAACTGACGATTGGACCCATGCTATGGCAACGTAGCCAGTGCTAAGCTATACTATATATACGCACCTACGAAATTTATTGATATACGAGAAGTAAGTATTATACATATATAAATAAATGATATGATAGTGGGCCTCGGCGTACAATGGGGCGCACTGAGAATTTCAATTGAGCGATGAGAATCGACAAATATGTTCTCTATGGGTATACGAGGTAGAACGACATTATAGAATATATTTGCAGCTAGCGTATAGATGCAATATTACGTCATTTTATCGATTGTATTTTAAACTTATCATCATGTCATCATATCATATCATGACGATATAATTTATAAAAAATATATTAA